CCCCCCCGTAAAACAGATTCTCAAGTGGATCAGGCCCTTTGCCCTCTATCTTCAGAGTTCAGCCGAGGCAAAAGCAATGTGCCCCTTGGTTCTTACGGGCTGACTGTGCCACAGTTTACCAGTTGTGGGGAGAAAAAGAGAAAAAAAAAAAAAAAAAAAAAAAAAAGATGAGAATTGCATCACATGTACAAACAAATTGCCTTCATCTACTTGCCTTGCTGAATGACTATGGAATCTAGCCGGAGTTTCATTTCCGCACGTTCCACTATTCTTTCTTCCACCGTATTGTCTGTGATAAACCTGAACACTCGAACAGTCTTTGTTTGGCCAATTCTGTGCGCTCGATCCTAGGCAAAAAAAAACCCACAACACAAAACTCAGTACTTGGTTTCCAGCATGACTATATCGTTAGTCTTCAATTTTCATTAGTTTCACCACAGTAATTTACAAAATGGAATAGCACAGGCTAGTTAAAATCTTTATAGCCATCCAGTTAACATGGCTACCCAAGACAGCACATTCCTACCTGCACTGCAAGTTTTGGGGTGTTTGTTTTTTTCCAATAACATCAACAATGAGTGTTTCTCTAGATGTCATACCTAAAAATAGTGTGTGTTTGGGGTTTTTTTTGTTAAATCACACAGGGGAGAAGACTGGCTGCTGCTGCCCTTATGTAACCTTCTGTAAAAATCAAAGTATTTAAGCAATTATCTCTGTACTGACCAAAAGCTACCTTTCTCAAAAGCGCTCCGTTGTGCCATGAATATTTCAAGAAAAATACAATGCACCACCTCAGCTGACTGGCAAATCATTAACCACTGTCAGAATTAGTATTCTGAACATAAAACTTTAGTGGTAGCTGGAACTATCTCGCTTCAGCTTCCAGACACCAGTTCCATCATTCTTTCCAACTGATTTTTGCTAAAATACTTGAAAACCTACAGCTTAACTGAAGTAAATAAAAAGACTTTTCCAAGAGTTGTCAGTGAAAGGCCTCATTTGTCAAAAACCACTGGTAGTTCTTATGTAGCTTTACTTTCTTTTGTGGTCAGTAGTGTTCTTGATGTGTCCTGAGGTTGGAGATGCATGCAAATCTACTTTAAAAAAAAAATTAAAGATGGTTGCTACAAGGAGCTTGCTCACTTTTCACCACCCTAAAAGCAGGTTTTGAAAAGTTTAATTCAGCTTTTCTTTGTCTCTTTTCCAAGGTCTCGGGGAAGACAGTGTAAACACATTCACCTCCACTGCCCACAGAAGTAAAGCTTTATAGTTTAGGTAGAGCTTTTTTTTTTTTTAAATAAACCCAAAAAGGAGGCTATTTTTGTTAAATACTACAAAGAGTACTGTAGCATATATCCAGCATTTCCCACTGCACAAAACACTGTATAGCCCAAATGTGACTAAGGGTTCCGCACAGTGGAAGCTGCACTGGAACTGAAGATCAGTCTTACAAATACTACTACTCCTGTGCTATAACAGGAAAAAATACCAATTTATTTTGGAAATGCTACATCATGCCACACATTTCTAGGAAAGTTCCGTGAGGAAGAGAAGAAAGAAGAACAGAATTTCCATCTGGATTCTTACCATAGCTTGAAGATCTACTTGTGGGTTCCAGTCCGAATCGTACAGAATTACAACATCAGCAGTAGCCAAATTGATTCCAAGACCTCCTGCCCGTGTACTCAACATGAACACAAATTTTGAGCTACCAAGTTCATTATATGCATTAATAGATGCCTAAATAAATAAAAGAAACGTCAGTTGAACCAAATGTTTTACAAGTACTATTTTTACTTCAATAAAATACTTAAAATTTTAAATACCTGTCTCTCATCATGTGGTGTTTGTCCATCCAGTCTACAATATTCATAATTTCGCCACATACAGTAATCTTCCAAGATATCTAGGACTCTGGTCATCTGACTGAAGATTAAGACTCTTGACCCTGTTTGAGTAAAAAGCTTTCTTATGTTCTCCGCCAAACTGAAGATATGTCAAACTCTGCAAGTCTGCATTACCAGAAAGGGAAGGAGAGCGGTTTCCTCCGCTAAGAAAAGTAGTTCGGACCTCAGGACCCAACATACAGCAGGGCCGCACCCACCGCTGTCATAGCGGCTGCGTGGGGCTCAGCTGCCTGCCGGGGTTAAACGACGACAGCCCTGTTCGGTGCCAAACCTGGGCCTCAGAGGGTTCCGGATAACAACAGACGTGACCGGAGTGTGCTAGACCGAATTCACGGCTCTTACAGCTGTTACAGCTGTTTAGCTACAAATTGCCAGGCTCCGGAGCTCGCCCTGGGGCTGGCTTGCATTACTGTGTATTACAGTCTGGTTGGCGGCTGCCTTTTGCTTTTGTTTTTCTGTTGTACTCCTTATCAAAACGTTCCCAGACACAGCAGAGTAAGATGGTAACACAAATATAAACATATCAAGGAGTATAAAGAATGAAATTGTGAAAGTGTTTGTTTTGGATTTAAGATAGCTAGAAATAAAGTAAATTCTTCTTAAAGACTTGTCAGTTGTTTACATACCTGCCCAGAACAACCTCCAAAAAATGGAAATGTACAGTAACTTATGCATATATGCACAACCATTTCCAACCTACTTGAGAGATTTAAGTAAAACACAGAATATTACAAAGCTTCCACTTCCCCCTACATTCTCCCAGCATGATTTCTGTCCTTTGCACTCAAGGTCTAATAACGAACTCTCTTTTGTTTAGCATAATCATTTGGTTCAAGACCAGGCCAATTTTAATTGCCACGTCTCAACAAGAAGCCTCAGGGCAGAAAGAAACCAAGATCAAAAAAGCGCAGTAACCACTGAATTCTTCTTTTTGAGTCTTACAATGATGCGTATCACCACAGCTGCTTGAATGCTACCTGGATACGAAGTACAGGTTACTTTCGTATTGCCTAAAGCTGAGGTTTGGACTTGGATTTATTTTTCTGCAGTGTCTCCCCAGGCACAAACTTTTCTCCACTCCTTTAGCCAAGTTACTGCAGTAAGCACACCCATTGCAATAATGACTTAGAAATTTATTCCAGAGTCAAAAATTCTGTGGCGACTGACTTTTACCCTAATGTATTCCAGAGCTTTGTCCCTTCTATCAAATAACTAAAACAACTGAGTGTTCCCTGATGTTTGCATGCCTTAAAGAATTTACTGAAAAAACACAGCTGCTGCTCAAAATCATACCCAGCAAGACCGACCAACATTTCACAAAGGATTCGACTTCAACCCTACATGAAGACTTTGAATCTGAAATGGTACTTCACGGCAAATCAAAGGAGTGGCTAAAATACCACATGATTAGGTTTCAAAGAACTAACGACGCTCAGAAAGGAAACCTAAAGCCCAGCCTAACTGATGTTTCTGTGGCCTTGATTTAGCTGGGACAAAGAAAAAGAAGGAAAAAAATAAAATCAAAACACTTTACCATCACAAAAAGCCATAATGGACTATTGATCCAATTGTTTATGAAGGCACTTCACAAATTGCTTTAGTATCAGCTACTTAAGATACAGTGCTTGACAAGCTGCTACCCTGCTAGAAACCGGCAATAATCCTGGGTACAGCGTGCTGGTTTTTGCCCAGGATGCATGGAAACATCAAGCAGCACTGGCTTTCATTTTTATAGTTGAACCACCAACTCTCAAACGACAACAACCATGAAACCCATACCTTGTTCTTTCAATTTAGGCAGCAATTTGTCCAATACGACCATTTTGCCACTGTTGGTGACCAAATGCATATCTGTTGTGTAAGGTGGCCCAGGTTCTGCTCCATCAAAGAGATACGGATGATTGCAACATTTTCGCAGCTGCATGAGGATGTTCAAAAGCCTCATTTTGTCCAGCTTGCCAGCTGAATTCAGTATATCTATATCCTTCATCAAGATTCGTGTATACCTACATCAAGGAAAGAAAAAAAACTTCTGTAACACTTAACCAAAGCTGGCTTTCCCTTAAACGTTAAGTTTAGCCAAAAGCTCACCCTCCCCCTCATTTCATCAGGTAACTCTCCCTGATATGCACGGTTTTGTCATCACAGAAATGCCACAAGGAAATACGTATGAGTTGGGGGTACAGCAGAAGGGATTAAACCAAGTTCTGCACAATAAACAAGTCACAAGCAGCCCACTCCTTCTGAGCCTTAACCACAGCACAGTCAAATATGCGAATTACCATTCTCGTTGCATTTTGCTGAGACCCACGTAAATTTTAACTTCCTTCTTTGGAGGTAAGCTTTTCTCTACATCAGCCTTAATGCGACGTAGAAGGAATGGTCGTAGCACCTGAAAGAGATTGCATCATTAAACGTATTTTGGAAACTGAAACACTGAAGAGGTCACTAGACAAAAGCAACGCAGATATTCTCTATCATAAATGCTCCAAAGCCAGACCTATTACCAGATCTTCTGAAAAAGCAATCTATATGGACAAGTTATTATACATGGGAATATACACGTTTTCTTTGGAAGACTCAAAGATTTGGCCAAAAGCATCTTTCAGATAGTTCTATGCCCCTTGATTCTTTTTAAATTTTGCTTGACTAAAATAGTCTCTTCACAGCCAATATTTTTAATGTAAGCATTTCACAACCCTGAAAGCCAGAACTAGCGACCCTTCTCTCCCTTCCAAAACAATTTCCCTTTCAAGAAATAGATCACCTTCAGAGCTTGACTAACCTATTCTGAAAGTCTGCCATAGTTTCTGGAATAAGCTATCTTACCCTAATATTCTGTCACAAGCAGCATTAGAAGAATTATTTAGAACCTAACGTAGGTAAACGTAACACTTGCACAAAAACCAGACGGACTTACCATGTGGAGACGTTCCACCAGCTTTTGATCCCCTAGACAGTTGTTTGTATCAAACCACGAATCGAAGTCCTGTATCAACAAAATCACTGGTATGTAAGAGGTTTCCTTTCAAGGTGCAATGTCATTACAATGGTGAATAAATACAACTCAAGTGATCCTCTTACGTAGGCAGTAACAGAACAAATTACCCTCTTTGGTCTATTGTTATGGAAAGCTCTATAATACAACGTCTTCCAAAAAAAAAAAAAAAAAGAAACCTCCATACTATTGGAAGGAAAAAAAAAAATCAATAGGTGAGTACTTTTCTGTTGAAAAAGATTCACTCATATCACTCCATTGGACAAATTCCATCTGGAAGAAGCATATTACTGCAGCATTTGATGAAAAATGAAAAGGAAAAAGTAAAAATTTGGTGTAATGCACCACAAGGCTTCCCTTTCTACAGATATTACACTCCCAGTTCATCAAAACAGTTAAGCACATGCTTCACTTTCTGAAGTCTATTGCTCATTATAGAGTATCTCCCAATTTACAGGAAAGAAGTCTTAGATAAACGATAAGGTAACTTATAGTTAAATATAAGAACAAAATTAGTTGGTTTAGCCATCACAATGTTTAAACCTATTTTGAAATGCAGTAGAGATCATCTTCACATTGTGATTTTAAACACCTCTTATAACTGCTAGGCTCACAACAGCCCTTAAACATGGCCAAGCTGAGACAAATAGTCTACCCTACTGTGCTTCACAATTCTGGAAACATTTCTAACTGTTAATCTACAGTTATCAGTAACTGACACTCCTAACTATACATAGGCAGGTCTATTTTCCAATGTGGAAAACCAGCAAAGTTCATTTAATTTGATTAGCAGAAACGAAGACTTACTTCAGATGAGTTAAAGACGTCTGGTAAAAGGAAGTTAAGAAGTGCCCAGAGTTCATGTAAATTGTTCTGAAGCGGAGTTCCAGTTAACAGCAGCCGGTTTGTAGTCTTGAATTCCCTCACAATTTCTGATAACTGAAGGACATTGAGACACGAGTGAATACAAAAATCTGACTAGTCCCCATACCACCACCTAGCAACCCACATAAAAATCGCTTTCAGTGAAAGCATAAATTACCTTTGATTTTTCATTTTTAATCCTGTGAGCTTCATCTATAACTAGGTATCTCCAGTTAAACTTTTTGAATACTGATTTCTCTTTGATAAGCATTTCGTATGATGTTACGCAGACATCCCATTCTCCGGGCAACAATACATCTCTGACAAAGGCAGCCTAGACAACAAGGTGACAGTTACTGTTTACTGAGGCTTTGTCAAATCTAAAACAAAAAGAACACACTAGGTGCTGTTAAAATTTTAAAACAATGTTGCTACTAAATTTGAAAGAAAAGATAGAATTAATTACAGAGGCACTATATCATACAACCATTGTAAAGCTTGAAAATTTTGTCAGTGCTGAAGCTGCTAAAACCCTTGGGGCAGAGCAGAGAAGGGATTTCAGCTCTAACTTCTGGCATTGGAAACTGCAGATGAGTATCTACACACATGAGGTTTTTGGCAGCTGAACTGTAAGATCAGAACCCAAAGTTAATTTTCTGTAGGTTTGCTTGGGGTTTTTTTAATGTTAAGTTTAGAAAATGGTAGGTTTTGAATATAAAAAAATAATCCCAAGCACAACTTTATTTGGTAACTGAACAATTTCTACAACGCTGACATCCAAGGTTAAAAGCGGACACAGTGATTAGCATTCAAAATACAGAGATGTATAAATCAAGAACTTAACTCATATAAGCAAGAAATATACTGAAGAAAGAATAACAGCTTTTGGGTTGAAAAAAGATGCACTTAAAAAAAAAAAATCACAAGGTAGAAGACCTGGAGCAATGATCTCCAGAACTATTTAAAAGTTTCATCAATATTTTTGTCATTTCTAACCCAACAAACTCTGAAAATAGAGCTAGATGCCCTTAGAACAAAAAAATCTGCTGACAAAAGCAGAAGTTTAATGGCACCAGTAATAACTCTTCCATAAATAAATGGGTAGCTCCAGTTGACAAATCTACAGATACGCCATCATATTCCATGTTTTTTAAGTTTTCTTCGCTGCACTAAAAAAAAAAGCAGCAAAGAACTGATACCGAAGTAACAAAAAGAGAATGATTGAAACAGTAAGGCCGTAAGAGGCTGACCAATATTTCTTCCAGTTGATAAAATCCAAGCCAAATAAGATCCATTTGCGTACCACTGTGCCCAACAACCCACCTTGCCCCCTCCAACATTAAGCTGACAGTCGTTTTCAGAAAACAGTTCCTTAGTGACAGACCCCATAATCCCCTTAAGAGCTGCTGTTACAGCCAATACAACGTACCGTACTTATGTAGAGCAGAAAACAAATTACTTTTTTACAGATTCATGTATTCATACAAATGACAGCACTTTACATGAAATACTTTACTTTCCAGTTTTAAGATTCATCGGGTTTTGTTGATCTAAACAGTGCACTGTCTCCATGAATGGAGAGAAAGTCTTTGGACAAGCAATTCTGAGTTTATAGTGATGAAGCAATAGCTGGGCAACACACGTGGGAATTCTAAGCTGCTTCTATTTTAAGTAGGTAGCACTTGTAGGTCTTACTGTTTAACCACTACAAATCCCAGTAGTGCCCTTCCCCGTGAACGAAAGGTAAAGGACAGCAAGATCACATATTGGATTTACAGAGGAAAAACACCACATCAAAACTTACTCGCTGGTCTTTGTCACCTATCAAACAAACCGCTCGAAGTGTAGGTACCCATCTCTTGAATTCATTCATCCAGTTATGTAGAGTGGACTTCGGAACTAACACCATGTGAGGACCAGGAATATTTCTGTAGTGTTTCATATACCCAAGAAGAGAAATTGTTTGCAGTGTCTTCCCAAGACCCTGTAAGAGACATTAACATGTCAGGGGAAAAAAAAATGTTTCAGGAAACACCTTTAAAAACCCCAAGAGTGAGCTCTGCGTACAACGTGGAAGACACAGTAGCCTGAACAAATGAGTGAGATACATTAAAGACATTGCTACTCACAAAAGGCATCAAAATCTTGGTCAAGGAAAGCTTGTATGGCTTCCCACATGTAATAAAAAAAAAGTAATAAGAGTAACGTTTTCAAGTCTTGGATTGAGAAGTTAGAATTTTGCCTTACCTTTCAAATTAGACACACTCTTAGAAGTGCAAGAAAACATTTCACAAAATTTTGTTTTGTAGACAGGGGTATACTCGGATTATTTATTCAGAGGTCAACAAACTTTACAAACTGGACATATACATTCTCTTAAACTTGAAATAAACCGAATAAATCAAGAAGCCCATAAGGAGGTTTTTACAGGCCAGGACACAATGTCAGTTCTCGTGAGAAGCCAAACATAAATGTAAACAGCTGCATATGTCAAAGCAGAAAAGAAATACTGAGCTTCTTTAGAAGCTGTTTTTTTTTAAGCGCTCTGTTCTTTATTCAACAGAAATATTTAAAACTTTGTATCTTCAGCATATAAATTAAAACAAAACTGAGGAGACATGCAAAAACCAGATCATTCGTATCATTTAAATAATTTAAAAAGTTATGACTCAAACACGTGGGATTAAAAAACCCAAACACCATCAGTACAAGTTATTTTTGCTTCTAAAATTCAAGTCTTTGTCTTCAAAACAACCACATTCCACCTGCTCTAAGATATGGAAAGTGTTTACAAGCTGTGTGAAAGGCATTAATAAGTTCAAAAGGATTATTATTTAAGAACAAATCCAAACATATTTAATAGTAAATATTTAAACCCCTCCACACAAGATGGATTTTGGAATACCACAAATCCAAGGACTCATAAAGTTTCCCAGTTGTTTTTGTTAAAACAAGACTGCTCCACTTAGAATTGTACTCAGCAAAAAAAATTTCCTCTATTCATAAGCACGTATATTGAAGAAAATCCTTGATCTATTTCAAAACTATAGATGTTACTAAACAATAATTTAAATTCATTTGTCTCTAATTTATCTTGAAGAAGTTTTATGCCGCAGAAATTACCAGAAAGCATGAGAAATGCAATATACTGAAATATAATTAGATCTTTGTTTTTCCTTATCTGCTCCTTCTGAAAAACAGATACAACTAAAATCACTTAGAGGACAAAAAACATACCTGCCTGTCAAACTACTACAATTTTTCTGTGTTCATCCCTTGTCTTTCAGGGAAAAAAAGAATAAAAACAGAAGCAAAAGCTACTATGGCCAGTACTGACATATGTCCACAGTCATGGTGTGAAAGAAATTTTAACACATCTCTCTAGCTACATCTACCTCTGTATTATTTTTCCCCCAAAATTTCCCGCTGCTGTAGTTCTTGCTGCTGAGATTAGTCCATATAGGACACTCGTACCCTGCTACCCGCATTTTACCCTAACAAGAACAGGAAGCGTTCCTGCATTCATTGCTCTTTTCATACATGACACTTTCTGCACAAGGGCAGCTTGAGAATACCATAACAAAATAGCTGCAATCTAGAGGGGAAAATGGAGGACATGTCATTCTATAGAACAACTCTCCTCCACCGAATTTGTTTTTCTAAAGGCTGACAGATTCCCCTTTCATATGCCTACTTCTACAACTGCCTGCAAAGTTTATTTAAATTAAGATACCTGTGACACTTTTAACATTAGCAACTTACAACATACTAGAAAAACAAGATTTGGCAAATTATACACTGCGTTTTGTGCTATTAAAAAAACTATGTCTATAGCTGAACTAAAACTGTATTGTATTGCATGTGTTCACAAGTCCCCAGAAACACGGGCTATGTGCATACCATCTCATCTGCCAGGATACCATTGATGCCATTTTCATACAAAGAGATGAGCCAGTTCAGTCCTCGGACCTGATAATCACGCAGCTTTCCCCATTTAACATCTAAAAGACACGAAAGAAGAGACTAAAAGATCCGTAAAAAACTTAACAAAGAATTTCACCATCCCTTGCCTGCTAATTGACACTGATTATCTAAGCTACAGAACAAAACCAAGTAGTAAATGTCACGCAGTAAATTCCAAGGACAATGCAGACTGGAGACAGTGACATGTTAATTGTGTTTCTGTGAGCTGCTCCAACAGCTTTGTTTTCTGCAGGAACCCAAAATACGTAGAAATCCTAACTCTATCACCACCCCCCAAATCAGAACACAGTTGAACGTTAAAACAACAGAATACTGAAATCTCTGTTAAATGAACTGGAAGCTGTTAGGTACTTTAAATTGTATCAGAAGACAGGTTACATATGTAAAAATTATAAGATGACAGACTTAAAAACTCTTAAAAGCTGTTTCCTAGTAACTGAAGTATAGCAAATGGATTTCTAAAGGACAGGACTCACTGGACCATCTTTCTAGCCTGCCTGAAAATAAACAGTCCCTCGCTAATACAGTTTTTCCCATTAGACTGGTGCTGGATTTTTTTTTCTCCTTCTCCTGTCCCCCAAAATTGACTCATTGTCCTCAGGAAGGATGAAAATAAACTTCATTTTAAACAAATTTTGAAGGAAAAGAACAGTGGGTGGGAACCAGGAAACACACATGATGGAGATTCTTCAAATCGAGTGCAGACATTAGTTGTCTTGGAGCTTTCTGTTAACAGCTCCTCGTCTTCTTCCTGCTCTGTTCTACGATGGCGGTAGCTGAAAAAGTGCAAGTAGTAAGTTAGTTTCTGGCTAAACTGAAAAGACGTGAAACTGTTCTGAAATTAAACCTAAGGTCATTGCGGTACAGAACACAAACACCCAAAGAAGCTTCTAGCAAGATTCTTCAAAAGAACTCGCGTTCAGCTGAAATGTTGATTTTTAACTCTTTAGAGCTACTAGCTTCTTAATAAGATAAGATGACCATGTTGTTAGCAGGCTCAAATATTAGAGCAAAGTGACTGGAAAGGGATAAATTGCGTGCATCAGTACTGGCCTTTAACTACATGCCAGGGAACGACACTGTATTTAAGAGTTCTGAAACATCTGCCAAAGACTAGATCTACAGTAGCCATATAAGCAGCAATGAAGGCAAATCACGTTTCTAGACTTCCGACTTGCAAGCTGTCTGTAAGATGCAGCGTACTGATGTTCTCCGTGAACTCTTACAATGCATCGCCACAAATGCTCTACTTTTCTGCCCCCGCTTTTCTTCATGCTGGAATTCTTTTAATCATGATAGTTCTCTACCACCAACACAAAATTCTTCTAACTCCTAGAATTCTTAAACAACCCTCAACTTACAGGTGGGCAGTTGAAAAAAAACCACAATTACACAGCAAAAAACACAGACCGAAATAGGACAAAAGACCAGCAAGTTTAACTTACGCTTCTAAAGTACAATAAAATCCATAATTACAGTACAAGCTGGCCTACATGTCATCACTCACTCGCCAACTGACAGTAAATTCTGTTTCTCATCCTTCTTTATTCGTGGACGTCCAGGCTTCATTTTCAAAGGTGAAGTTGGAGTTTTCTGAGCAGCAGGTTGAATGAAATGAGCAAACAGCTCAGTCTGCTTCAACAGATACTCAAATCTGTTTGCTCTGTCTGTTTGCTGTTGACAAGGAAAATTAAGTGGAACAAGTGTGAGACATTACAGTTTGTATCCATTCAAAAGAAAAAGCTAATAAATACTTTTTAAATGCTAGAGATTCACACTTCTTTATATAACATAGCTACAGTAACAAAGAAGAGATGATTAACGTCAACAATAGAAGTGTTGCTGACAGATTCAATATTCTTTTATGAGGTCGAGGCTAGCCTTTCCTACGCAGTAAGATCAAAGTTGCAAGATTGACCTGCGCTAAGACTGAAATTTGCCTTTGGCACAAAGATTGCATGAGTGTCACTAGACAAGGCCGGAATCCCCTTAACAACCTTCTCCTACCAAAAATTATAATCCCACTCCCAGAATTTTACCCCTACCCAGCATGCACAGGATTCTTCAATGAACTTGCTCATCTCGCCAGCCTGGCAACAACTATTTTCTACCACATTAGGTTCCTGCCCGCTCAGTGAGATACACCACCTCGCCGTGGTGTCAGATAAGCAAAAGAGCTGGCATGAAATGGGGCGGAGGGGGCAGAAGAGCCCATAGCTAGAAGCCAGAACACCTATTTCTACAGCAGAGACCTCTTAGACGTGCTCAGCCTAAATTGTCAGGCTGCCCCCTTTGATACGAGTTGCTGTTTCTACTGTGCAAAAAAGATTACAGGAGACAATATGAATATCTAAAAGCTTCAGCCCCTTTGAGACAGGTTCCATCTGGAATCAACACACCTTCCCCAGGCCACATCAAGGCTTCAGAACAGACAATCAAGGCAGAAAACAGCTCCAAGCTTAGGGGGCAACCACTGTGACGTTCTGCCAGCTGCCACAGCACAACCTGGTATTCAGCAACTCGCACAGTTACAGGAAGTCGGTTTTCTCAGTAAAAAGGAACATATGTTCCAGACTTCTGCAAGAGCAATGCCAGCTCTGTGAGTGTTCTCCTCTTTAAAGCAAGCAGTTCCTGCACTATGTAAAAGACAGGAACACAGGGGCTTAAAGAAGAAAGAGGCCAAGAAAGAAATCCTGTATGTACCACAGAAGAGTCAGGCTCACTCTACTATAGTTCAAGCTTGATTGACACAGCTACAATCCGCATCCACTGAATTAAAGTTTTCCTGTCTATTCCTTATAGGAGCTTTTTTGGTGTACTTCGCAACAATTTCTGAAATTTAGACTAGGTAAGGTCTTACTACTATCCAAACTGCTGACCCTTATTTTTAAGTACTTGTTTCACTGGCTGTGCAAAAGAGAAGAAGAGGAGATACCGACTGCATTGCAAAAGTTTCCTCGCTCTAAAATTTTAGCGAGGAATCTTCTGCAAGTTTTGGCACTGTACACACACCCCCACAACTCGTTTTCATCATGCTTAAGGAGATTCCTTTAAGACACCAACAAACATTTATCTGTACGTTTTAGACAGGACACAGGCAAGAACAGGCTGTGCTCTGCAACCTTGAGCTATCCTTCTACCAACAGAGAAACTTTTCCTGTTTTCTTTTCCAGTACATCTTCTGACTATTGCGACAGTGAAATACAATCCTCCTTGTAATCGTGCCTGCCTAGAGACTCGAAGACACAATTCCAAGTTCACTTTCTTCAGTTTGCCAGGAAGTAGCACAAAGAAATTAGCAGAAGACTGGGTTATTTTCAGTGGCAAGAAGAAACAACACAGGAAGCAGCAAATTACAAGAATCAGTTTCACTTTCCTATGAAGAAATTCCACATGCAGTCACAGAGACTGGAATTACGAACAGGAAGAAAGGAAAACAGGGAGGAACAAAGAAAGAAAATGCAGTAAGATGGTGAGGAGTGGATGGCCCCATCTCTTACACTCAGGATATTATAAAAACTAAAAAATAAGGGAAAGAGTAAGTTTTCTCCTATCTAACTTGTGAAGCACAGAATCACCCATCTTCAAAAGCCCAAGGACTCTAGTTAGAGCTTCAGAAAAAACAAATTAAATTTCAGAAAAAGCTAACAAAATCCCTTTCAGTCTAGACAAAGTGTTGAAAAGTTGGCCAATGCTTACAGTCAGCACTTGTCCTAAACAGCAAATCTTTCCTCAGCCTCCTGTGAGTTTTGAAAGCTAACTTTCATTTACTTCGACCTGTAAACTCTACTGTTTGAAAGAACCGGCCTATTTTGAAGTCCTCCTCCTAAAGCATGTTTCAACTGAAGATGAATGCAGTGCCTACTCAAAGCCTTATGCCAAACCTTTCTTTTTACTGCCCGCTCCCCCAAATAGAAATTAATGTACTTTTCCTACAAAGGACTGCTACTCCTGCAGTTCAAAAATGTTTGGAATTACTTTCTTGCACTCAACAGTGATATAAAAAAGGCCCTAGACTTCAGCTAATTCCATACATCGAGAAAGTAAAGTAGCAGCCATTTGAATACTTATGGATGCTTTCCCAGAGGATCTTTCAATCTCTGACTGAGAAAGGGAATACTCAAGTCCTCATAAATCCCCCTTGCCTACAGGAAGGACAACTCTACAGATAACTTCAAAAGCAACCCGACAACTTTTTATTACATTTTTTTCCCCTAAGACACTTGAATATTTCCCATTATATCATTCTTCTAAATCTAGAGCACTTCAAAGCTGCTAGGACTGTACTTCCTAGAAACAGCAAAACACATTAACAGTCATTCCCACAAACGGCTGCAGTGGAAATGCAGAAAGAGCCGAGGACCAGTGAACAAAACGCTAAAAAGGAGAAGGGTCTGAGGGGTTTTTTGCTGGATATTTTTTGGTTTCAAGTTATTTAAATATTTTTTAATAACTAGACAAAGTTTTATAAATCCACTTAGGAGATTCCAAACAAGTAGAAAACTCAGTCTATTTTAAACAACCGCACAAGTTACTGGATAGCTGCACATAGTCCCAAATATAACATACCATTTTCTCTTCATACGTAGGATCTGCTTCCTGGATTTCTTTTTGTTTTCCTGGTGATGCATCATCAAAAGATTCCTGAGATGAAAAAGAATTAGAAAAAAAAAAATTATTTTCTGAACAAGGGAAGACACCCACATAAAGGAGAATAAGCTTGTTTCAAATTACTCTCTATCCACATCAGATGGCACAGCCATCTTTTGCTGCTTTGATATAGTCAGCTTCCCATTACTTACTGTAAAATTACCTGGAGATGGATCAAAGATCCCTGCCACAGGGTGAGGGACAGCGCTAGATCTCTGTAATCCGATTTAGCTCCATCATTAAAGCATCGTATCAATGTGAATGAGAGAGACAGCTGTGGTCCAGGAGCTCGGCACGCCGCTTCTAGGGTGCTGAGCCAAAACCCTCCTGAAGCTGGCTCTGGGGAGTACTGTGAAAGAACTAGCTCCAGACCCAAAGCAAGAGTAGCTTCAAGGTTTTTTACCTTTTTCCAGGCTACCCCAATCCCTCATCATTTTGTATCAAGGGAACAAGCCTAAATAAGAACCTGGACTGCAGTTCTGTCCTGAAGGCAAAGCAGGAATTTAGACAAACTGCATTTTCCCCCTATCTAGTTTACTAAATCAAATTAATTGTTGTTATCATCAACGGTATCGCTACTAACAGAAAAACAAGTTAGTTGGGAGAGGGCAGTCCTCTCTCATCCCCCTTCCTGCCAAATCCTTGACATACTGCCTTCAATTATTCTTTCAGATCAGGGCTTTTTATCCCTGTGTCTCCCGTTATCAGGTTAACTCCTTCCCCATCATCTCCCACATGTAATTTCATCTTCTGTTCTTAAAACCAAAACCAAATCCTTCCCTGGTAAATCACGCTAAGGCAGCGGTTATATTACAAAATCATTCTTCAAAGGGTGAGAAAAGGAAACAAACCGAGATACCTTCAAAATTGTTATTAACCATCTGTTTAATCAAGCCAAGTAGGAATTGAGCTAAAACGAATCCTTACTGGCCAATGTAGAACAAAGGAACAGGAAAATAAGAAACAACGTGAAACAAAGGGAAAGGCAAAACACAGGATGTTTGTGGGCAGGTGTTTCCTCACAAAACGCTGGCAGGTAAGGCCTGTGGAAACAGAAGAATCCCAACACAGATCTTGCATTCGCCAGTCAAAATACAAAGAACCGAGCATGCAAAGTTACAGCTAAAGATCTTCTAAACTCATACCCAAATCTTCTTACTCATCTCCCACTGGATTTAGCCAACACCCACCTACCAGCAAGCACAAGCACAGGACCATTTGAACTTCTGTCCGAAATCCACGTTTCTCCTGAAACGCCTAACACGCAAAAGACAGACAGGCAGCAGCGCGCCATCTGATCTCATCACGTGCAATAAGGATGACAAAACCTTGCAATTCAGCTGGAGAGCAAGGAAAGCAGTTTCTCGGATGATCAGGACTATCAAGAAGCTATTTCAACCGAAACTTCGCTTTATGCAAGGTAATCCCTTCCCCATGCCAAAAGGAACTAACTTTGCATGCACAGAGAGCGCCCTGGCACACGGGCGGCTCAAGAGCACGCGTCCCACAGCTCCCTGCGCTCAGCCCCAGCCCGAATTGCCCTATTTCTGCAGGTTCGAGCAGGACTCGTTACCCACAGTGCTTTGGCTACTTGCTCATCCGAAAAATACGGCATTTGCAAATTTATTTAGATCAAGTAGGTTGGACTGTACAGCATGACTCAGAGCACAAAACACCCAGCGCTGAAAGCGAGACCAACCAGTTTCCTCGTATGGTTAAAGAAACAACGTTGCGATAAAATGAACATCTCCAAGCAATCACTCAAACCCCTTGAAATTTCTGGATTAAAGCACCTGTTGCCAAAACAACCCCCCCAAAAAAAAAAAAGTTTTGAACCGCTTCAGCTCCAAAACGTTTTGAACGTGGACTTCTCCCTGAAGCGGGAAGCACAGCCGATGGGAAGGCTTTTCGAGGAGGGAGGTTGGGAAGGAGGGGAAGGCTACTTCCAAGAAGCGGGTAAGGAACTTAGCGAGGTCTCTGCGTCAGCCCGCACGCCTGTGCGGGGGGCCGGGGAGGAGGAGGATGGCGAACGCCGCTCCCGAGCAGGAGAACGCGAGGGAGGCCTCCCCCTGCCCACTCGCGACCCCGCTTCAAAGAAGATAAATAAGTGAAG